GAAGTGAGTGAAAAACTTGGGTGTAACTTTTGATGGATGTCTAAATTTTATACCACATGTAAATGATATCAGGCAGAGTTGTTTTTCAATTTTACGTCAATTATATCTTAAGAAACAATTTCTTGACTTTACAACTAAAAAAATGTTGTGTGAATCTTTGGTAATGTTCAAAATTAGTTGAGATTTCGTTTATCTTCCATTTATTGACTCAACATCTCTAGCACGTCTCCCAAAAATCCAAAACTCATGTTGTAGGTTGATCAATAATTTGAAAAAATATCATCGTATCAGTCCTTTTTTCAAAGTCATGAAGTGGTTCAGAGTAAATGAACTGTGTGAGCTACACTTAGTTATTTACACCCACAGGCTTTTGCTATCATCTACTCCGCCGTCATTGAGAATATCTAGAAGCAATATCAATTCTAGGCACATTCGATTCACTGAAACACTTACAATGGCCCTTCACAGGACATCATTCTTTTGTAAACGCTTCACCTACAATGCAATTATTTTTTACAATACTACTCGATCCACAAAATTGCTATCAAATGATTAATTTGAGAGGCATATCAATTAATTTATTTTGAATAGAAGTATATAGATTAGTTAATAAAATTTATCTGTCACCTCACACAAAAATATTCAAAATATAGCATTCCTTTGCTTTGGATAATTGTTATAATTTTATACTTTTAACTCATGAAATAGTGAATAGCCTTCACTTATATATATACAGGGTGACTTTGAAGTTGAGTCATTAATTTTCAGATAATGATTCTAGAAGGAAGATAAACCAAAATATGTGTGTAAAAATAAAAAAAAATTTTTTTACCTTGTTTTATAAAGTATCCTCCCGACAAGTATTTCAGTGCGGACCTGTATTTGATCGTGAGGTCCCCTGTGAGGTCTGAAGTCACCTGATTGACGAGCCCGTTGTACTACTATTAACAAAGGCACGAGGGGTTGGTTGCACTCGATTGGGAAACCGATCCGCATAAACATGTGCCATTTTTTATTTCGTTTGAGCCACGCAACAGACACTATTCACACGCGACTGATTGTATGTATAACTGAACTGAATAAAGTAAACATCGTTCCAAATTCTTTCGCTTTTTTGTTTCCGACGTGATGAACCGATAAGGTGGATTATATCCGTTGTTGCCAAACACGAGCACATGATGATATTGAGACAGGGCGGTACTCAAACTTCCAAAGGGCTATAACTTTGTTACTTTAATTTTACCAGAAAAATAGTAAAGGAAAAAAACATTTCTTTTGATCAGATCTACTCACTGTTAAAATAAATGACTCAACTTCGAAGTCACCCTGTATACATCACATTTTTTATATATCTATATTTTTAAACCTCTAGCCTATCAAGTGTATTTATGTTTTTTGTATTGTTTTTAAGTTTTTCTTTTTTTTGTGGCAGTAGCATTATGCTAAGCTTCGCCGCCTAAATAAAGACAATCTATTATTATTATAACTATTATTATTTATTACGATACACCAATACTTGAAGATCTTAGTTTGATCCTTACTTCTTTAATTCCTTAATACATATGTCTATAAATCATGATATTGATCTGCATTTTTCATCATTTTATGGTAGTTTTCATGCACCTTCCGATCAATATAGGATCGTTATATTTTAAAATTCCGAAACGTTAAAAAAACCGCTGACACACCCACAAAGCGTCAACTAGCGACCACAGACCCAACTAATCTGACAGGATTGAGCATTAGTTAGAAATGCGGGTGAATACTCTTTCAAACAACATCAAGATCATCAAAATCGGTGCAGCCAAACAGAAGTTATGAAAAAATGCGCAAATTGAGCGGTCAACACGATAAGTCCATTTAATGAGTACCTATGTCAATTATGAATTTTTGCAAAATATACTAAGTGTCATATAAATCCGAACACCCAGTTTAAATGGTTTTATTTTAATAAAATTTTGTATAAGTACTTAATGAAGCATAATAAGTAAATGATAAAAATTTCAAAATGATTGCACTGCTTTAAAGCCCTTTGACCTTTAATAATGTGTGGATGCACCCTGATGTGCTACGCATTCTCCAACGCGCCTAGGCGTGCTTCTGATCAGGTGGTCAATGTCCTCCAGGCAACCACCAACTCCTCTCGAAGTGCTTCTAGAGTCTGAGGAGGACATTGCAAATTGAGCAATCTCCTACCCATCATATCCCACACGTGCTCAATTGGGGATAAGTCGGGAGATCTTGGTGGCCATGGTAACAATGTGACATCATTATGTTGAAAGAAGTCTATTGTGACTCTTGCAACATGTGGTCGGGCATTATCTTGTTGGAAAGTTGGATCTGCCAGGGTGTCAAGATAGGGTAAAAGATAGGGTTCTAGAACTTCGTGGATATAACGCTGCGCGTTCATGTTACCTCTGATGAAGATTAAAGGTGACCTGGAACCATAAGCTATAGCACCCCAAACCATAACTCCAACAGTGTGATGAACATGTCTTTCAACAAAAAACTGTGGATTCCTCATTTCACCACGTCGCCTTCTAACCCTGGCACGACCATCGTGCATGCCTACACAAAATCGAGACTCGTCACTAAAGACAATACTGTTCCATTCCTGATCCCAGAGTGACCGTTGTCTGCACCACTCAAGGCGATTACGTCGGTGCTCTCGAGTTAAAGGGAGGACCCAGTGTGGCCGGTATGAAAACAAGCCAAAACTTCTCATTCGTCGGTAAACACTTCGCATGCCAGGTCTTCCGTGTTCTGCAAACCATTCATTTGCAATGGACCTGGTAGTGGAGAAACGGTCCCTTAAGGCCAATAATCTTAGGCGGCGATCTTCACGGTCTGTTGTTCTACGGCGGCGTCCAGTGCCCCTTGCTCTTTGCGTACGGCCTTCTCGAAGCCATGCCTGACAACACCTAACCACAGTGTCTACACTTCTTTGCACTCTAACTGCAATTGCCCGAAAAGAAAGTCCAGCTTCCCGAAGTCCCACTATACGGCCCCTATCAAACTCACTGAGTTGACGAAATCGTACAGGTCTCCGTACTCTAGGCATCGTAACCGATCGTAAAGGATGTCAAGAACCAAAATCCGCCAACGTTGATTCTTTACTGCGGCTGAAATATTCATTTTTAGAGCGTTAGTGAATTAAAAAAAAGCAGTATAAAAACCGGAATGTCCAACTGATAAGGCTGAACATTTTTTCACTTGTTATTTACAGTAAGATAAATACATCCACCAACTTTTATTAAAATAAAACAATTTAAACTGGGTGTTCGGATTTATATGTCACTTAGTATAGTTGCCATTGAATTTTTGAAATTGGAATGACGCCTAGTAGCAATTTCTGTCGGACGCATTAGTTATAAATTAGGTACATTAGGAAGCCCTTATTTTGAAGCACAATATTAGCCTAATTTAATATACAGGGTGATTTGAAAGGTAGTAGTTGTAAAATATATACGATGTTACAGAATGTTGTCAGCATAATGTAAGGGCACATTCAGCATGTAATTATATGAAAGAGGTTCGTATAAACTTGGCTCCGGAAGCAATGTTACGTGCTTTCCGCTGTTTTTGTGTTAATATATTTTGTGCCCTTTGTAACTTAGACATTCCTGAGCGCTACTAGCTTTTCACAGTATGACGAAGCAAGAACGAAAAAACTTGATAGAGCCTGAAACACTGTTCTGTGATAGCTATTTTTAACTCTCTTGCAGCTAGGAAAGTAATTATCAGGTCGCATGAAATTTGTGCAGTTTTCAACCATGATTTGTTACACTGTCACTACTTGTTGTCATATATGATGCATGATGCAAATGTATAACTTATTCATAAACTTACCTATTGGAATCTGGATGATGCATATCCTCTAATAAATATTCATTTCCATTAACTATCATTCGGTCAATTACTATCGACATATTGGGATATTATAGTTTGCCGCTTCGGGGGGCGAATTTGGTATCATCTATTTTGCGCTTGAATGAAATCCCATAGCTACTCATCGTTTCATATGTCTTGCATATGGTAGACAGTTCAATTACAATCCCATAAAAAGCTGGATCCAGTGTAGGTTATTTGTTAAATAAGTGATAAATATGAAGAGTATTTCAAATTCGACACAATCTGGAGAGTTTCTAGAAATAGACGAAAAGAATGAAAACTTGTTGACTCCATTTGAGATGAGGATTCAAAATAAATTGCAGAATAACATCGGTACTTTTTCTTCTTCTTACGATGGCATAACTATGCATGCCATATGGAACGCTAGCACAGATAAACAGAGCTTTTGATTCTGATACCAATGATGCATGTCAAACATCGATACAACTGAAAATAGCAGCCCAGCACACGTCTATTCGAGTTTTCCAATATTAATGCCTCCCTTATAATAAAGCCCATAATAAATAATTCGGTTTTCTCGTCTATCTTCAGAAACACGCTGAATTTCCAAACTTCCACAATGCCACTTTCTTAGTTACCTGAAACCGAAACGTTGTCCCCATTTAAACGACTCTGAATCCCTTATCATTCTTGAGATCCCAAAACTGAAAGCCGGATTCGAAATACCACATATATTCCGTCATTTTTCCGGCATGAGAAAAGAAACTCCACTAAAACAAGGTTGAAGCATCACAATTGTTAAAGCTTCGGTCTAAACACATAACACCTACTTTATAAGGCAATCTGTAATGCTAAGGTTTGTCACTAAGTTTGTATCGCTATCTCTGGAATATACCCCGAACTTTTTATAGAACCCATACGAACCGTTATAGAACCCTTTAAAAATATAGGATACCTAGCGCCATCTGTGGACTTCCCTCTTACACTGTGGAGCTAAATTTGAATTACATATTCAAATTATATACAACATGTGTTAAGTAAAATAAAGCTCAAGCTGATTTTATTTTTAAAATGTGAATTTTTTTAATACAATACATAAAAATAACATTTATGCAAGTTGTTAGTAATCTAAAAATAGTCGGTGTTACCGATGTACCATGTAAATTTACAATCTGAAAATTCTATACTCCCTTCATGAGTTTCGGGACTACTCTAAACATTTTCCGAAACCATACCTAAAGAAAGAATTGAATTACATTATGTTTATGCTAGCTAAATTTTTCCAAAAGTTGTGCAAACCGTAAACACTATGTACGTTTTTTGGACACCAAGATGTTCGAACCATTTAATACTGATTATTTACGGATTACACAGTGCATGTACCTGGTTTATATATGTAATCTAAGTTACTACTTACTTGAAGATTGAAGTTCAGGAAGATGTAATTTACTAGAAGCTGTTCTTTTAAGACCTCCCTTTGTTCCAGGCACTTTATCGCTTTCCAAAAAACGTAAGTCCCACACCAAATGTCTTATAAATTTGTTCTCGGCTTTTATTGTCCAAAACTGGATTTCGCACTTGCTCGATCCACTTGTTAAAAAGAGCGGCATCATATTTTGGAAATGCATATACAGCCAGGCACCACGCACTTCTTAAATCCCCAGTTTCGATAAGCCTCCATTACAAAAGCTCAATACGAGCCCCTTCCACTTCAGTTGGCCCAACTATTAAAATCTTAGTTTTTCTCTTTTCAAACACAAATAATCAAAATATAGCAGCGTGTTATAGGTTTAAAATATTAACAATGAATATTTTGATAACATATAGTAGAAAACATCACCTTTATCACTCCCTAATCATATTTGCAGCATAAAAATAACACATGTTGCAATCACAGCATATCAACCTATTTTCATTTCAATGCTAAATAAGTCTATAACGCATAGGTGGCTATGAAAAATAAAAGCCATGACAATTGTTTTTATTAATCACAGCTGTCAGAATACGTTTAAAATAGTTTTGGGTAGTTAAGGTTTTCAAAATGGGTAGAAGAAACGTTATTAGTGAGAAAATTCGGTTACTGATAATTAAATTTTTCAATTCTGGGAAATCAAACTCAGAAATTGCAATTTTGTTAGACTTATCGCAGTACAGTGTGAGAAATATTGTTAGAAGATATAACGTAACTGGATCAGTTAATATTAAGCCACGATATGTGAAAAAAGTAATATCACAAATGCCGACCGAAGAGCATTAAGAAGAATAATCGTGAAAAACAGGCGTGCCAATTATTTACAACTAAGTGCTGTGTGGAGTGACGCAGTTGGAAGGAGAATTTCGAGGTCCACAACTCATAGAGAGGCCCACAAACTGGGATTTAGCACTTGCAAGGTAAGTTTTCTTATAAAAAGAAGTGAAGTAAAAACCCTAAAGTTGCACAACTTGTTTATAGGCCGAAGAAAAGCCACTATTAACTCCACTGCAAAAGAAAAATCGGCTTAGATGAGCTAAAGGACATATACAATGAACACCTCAACAATGGTGTGCAATACAATGGAGTGATGAGGCCCGGTTCGATGTTTGTGTTGGTGACAATCGCAGTAGGGTTATTCGCAAAGAAATGAAGCATTTCATTTAGAAGAATGGGTTTTACCAGTGATGGAAGAATGTTTGACATCCGGCCAAGATTTTGTGTTTCAGCAAGATGGTGCAGCGTGCCATACCTCAAAAAAGGCTACAAAATGGATGGAAGAAAATAATGTACCACTTTTGAAATGGGTTTCTAGCAGACCAGATCACCTATTGAAACTTTATGGCACGAGATGAAAATGGTTCTACGACAACATCCTGCTCGTACAATCACCGAACTGAGATAAAAGCTTCAAGAAATATGGGATTGTTTTACATCAAATTTTTGCCCAAACTTGATTAACACTATGCTCCAACGAATTTCAGCCGTAATAAAAAATAGAGGTGATGTTACCCAATGGTAATCTTTCAATGTATTTTTTACGACTAGAGTGTATCTAAAATGTTTTTGAGAAAATAAATTGTTTTAGAAGTAAAAAGTTTCGTCATGTTTAGTTTTTAAAGGCATATTTTGGTACAAATCTTGAAGTGGGCCAACTGAAGTGGGAAGGGGGCTCGTATATATCAGTATCAATGACACAAAACTGATAAAAACGCCAGCGCCGCACAAAATTCAACTTTCAATTCAAAATTACGAATACATCAACGTCAAAGCAGCGCCGCTCTGTGGTTGTACTCCGTACTAACTATATCAGATTATTTGATTGCCTACCAAACATACGCTCAAAGTCACTCATGTAACTATCTTTTATAAAGTAAGTGTTATGAGGATCTAAATGGGACAACCTTTCTACGCTACCGTGACCGATATCTAGTTGCCGATGCAGATAGAGAATGCATTTGAATAAATATGGAAAGCCGTAGGAAAATCACAGAGACCCTTCCATTGAACATGACCGCAACGCCAGATTCGGTGGTCACGAATTTCCGCTGATACGGCTTAACCTGCTACAACTTTATTATCCTAAAAGGCAGCTGAATTTGCATGTGGTAAAGAGCGGGACATGTGAAACGACATTCAAGTAGATATCCAGATTTCTGTAACGCGAGCAAATACTGTAAGGTGAGTAGGGTGAATTGTGAGACTTCAACTTATTTATAATCAGTGATATAGAAAAAAGAACACTCAGTAATAATGAATTTATTACAAATATTTTCTAGATATATGTTTGTTTAGGTTGCGATATATGTTTGTTCAGGTTCTGATAAAAAACGATCACCACCAGGCTGCACACAAGTCTCAATACGGTGGTGGTTTGTTGTCGGGCATGCGTTCAGAAAGGCCATACACGAAGAGTTAGAGGTACAGGGCTTGCCAGAAGATCGGCCTCGTGCCAAGACCGCCGCCTTACGTTTTTGGCCCCACATGACCGCTTCTCGTCCACAAGCTCAATTGCGGTCCCATGGTTGGGAGAACATGGAAAGCCTATTACAATGCGAATTGATTATCGCCGGATTAATAGTTTCGGACCCACTTCATACCGTCTTCAGTTTGTCCTACTTCTTACTGCTGCACCACACTGTTGAAATTATGGTATCGGAGGCTTTTGGTTATAGAAGCAGGTAATCTTTGGTGTTCATCAGAGACAAAATGACCGCCGTGCATTAAATCCAGGAGGTGAAAGAACCATATATTTGGCTCATATAGGGACGCTCATCAACTCACTTTTCCAACAAGATAATGCGCGACCACATATTAATAGCCAGAATTACGTTAGTCCATTTAGAAGACAATCAAGTTGATTTGTTGGCTTGGTCCCTAAATGTCACGATCTTCCATTCATTGAACATGTCTGGGACATTACAAGAAGAGCATAGCTCCGTTTGTCCCACAGACTCCAGCGGCATAAGTTACAAGTAGCCTTGGATGAGATACCGTTAGAGGAAAGCAAACATCTGATTAAAGTTATCCGTATACGTGATTTTGAATGCACAATATATCGTGGATGCCCAATAATTCTTTTTTTACATTTTTTTTAGTGGTTGGATTTTTCACAAATTTAGATTGATCATTTACAAAATCCTAAGAGATATGTATAAAAAATGCTGTAATAAATTCTTTATTACTGCGCGTTCTTCCAGAGATGTAAAAACTATTGTAGTTCTACCGAATCTTCTACTTATGTAGATTTAACTGCTACAACTTATCTTATGCGAAAGGTAATAATTGGGCATTAGCGTTGTTACCCTCATAACGATGGATATGCCCATTGTTAATATGAATTGATCACTACGTTAGGATTTTAATTAACGATAATGAGCAAGACTTGCTGGACACTGTTCATATAAAAAGAAATGGATGAAAAATATTGTGATATTCGCCAAATATAACAAATATCAAAACCTGAAAACTTGGCGTTGACATCAAAAAATGTGTCTCTTTGGCCTCAGAAATACAGTTATTCTAATCCTCCAGGTTTAAAAGTGATTTGTCGTCACAATGTTTTAGTTTCTTCGTTATATTTTCATCTCATTTATGTAATAAAATTGACGTAGCTGTTATGTGACATGAAAAACCATGCAACCAGTTACATCGATGTGCCTGTCAGTAGATCTGTGTGTCTGACCGATAATCCTTGGACCCCCCATAACATTGATAGTACTGCTCGGATTTGGTTGAAATTTCAGAGGCTGACATTTTTTGAGAACAAATCTAATAAGGGTTGAAATTCGGATATTTACTTGATAAATAACGTTTTCGATCCGCATACTTCTGCTATCTAAGCTCATCGTCCGGTGTACCGGTCCGGCTGACTAATCTATCCGTACTGCTGCGCCCAAATTATATACAGATGTGGAGAGAAACAACGTTGTCACAAGGACAGTAGGGCTGGGATGGCATGTGTGTGGACTGACTGTACTGGCCTGATCAACTGACTTGTTGCTTTTAATTTGTATGTTGTACATGTTCGTTACTGATTTTTTTCTCAGAGCATCTACATACATGCGTTGAAGTTTATCCGTTATGAATTGATTACGGCGCTGCGTAAGAAGTGCAGATCAACCTACTTGACGCCATTTTTGGCCTCCATTTTACCTACTATCCCGCATGTATGTGAATTAGGTGGGTATATGACAAATAAATAACCGAATCTCGGAAATATAGCTCGCTTGCTCCATTCACAGCTAATATACTCTCATTAGCAGCAACCTCCCGTTTGTCACCCTACCGTTTTTTTTCTCCACTTAACTCCGAACGGTGCTGGTCCTGGGGCCCATCTGAAAAGGAACCATTCGCTCTGAAATACGACCGTCGCGCACCTTACCCTTATCGGTATAAAGGTAAATTACTTTTTTCTACTTCCAGAAAAAAGGTTTTTAGTGTCAGTTAAGGGCACAGAAATTGTTCCCAATAAATATTCCGCTTTTTTATTGCGACTTTTACTGGCACAATTTGATGTTTCTGGCGTGACATTTAAGTCGTCTTGTAGTCCGGTCAAAATATGTTTAGCGTTAAGAAATAACCTATGATTCTAAAGGCAGATGGTTTATTAAACATGGAGTGGAAATGGGATGACTCTTTCAGAAACTGGAATATTTTATACCAATTGTGGGAAAACGGTTTAGGTTCCAAGATTAAAGGTCAAACATATTTTCCAAACCAATATTATTTACAATTTTACTCCACATATCAAGCTCCTTATTCTGTTATCTTGTAATTTATTATTATTTTCAAATGGCTTCTTATTTAATAGCTTGGGCTGTTTGAGTCCAAACATTAAGTGGCGCCAGGAAGAAAGGCCTGCTTCTATTTCTTATTCGGGTAAAGTAGGGTCAGAAATCTTTTTTACATCAGGTTATAGGAAAACGAACGTCCATTTCTTTAGCCCCAAAAGACATACAAATTAGGTTTTCGAACACCAAAACTCAGGCATTTACTATTTACCAAAACTACTTTTATCCTTACGACACTGACCTCTAGCTCTATAATAAATACGTACTTTGACACGTTATCGAAAGCGCACTAAAATCAAAACAAAAAAATCTCAATCTCTTTTCATTGCAGTTTGTTAGTCTTACAGCTTTGGGCTAATGCTTAATTTGTATAG